GTGCCCCCATCAGTGCCCGTCACTCAGTCACCCCATCCCCCATCTACCACCCCTTCCTCTACCCCTTGTTTGTTTCCCAGAGTTAGGAGTCTCTCATGTTCTGTCTCCCTCTCTGATTTTCCCACTCATTTCTCTCCTTTCCCCTATAATCCCTTTCACTATTTTTTATATTCCCTGAATGAGTGAAATCATATGATGATTGTCCATCTCTGACTGACTTACTTCACTTAGGATAACACCTTCCAGTTCCATCCACGTTGAAGGAAATGGTGGGTATTCATCGTTTCTGATGGGTGAGGAATATTCCATTGTATGTATAGGCCACATCTTCTTTATCCATCATCTTTTGATGGACACTGAGGCTCCTTCCACAGTTTGGCTATTGTGTTTATTGCTGCTATAAACATTGGGGTGGAGGTGTCCCGGCATTTCACTGCATCTGTATCTTTGGGGTAAATCCCAGCAGTGCAATTGCTGGGTCGTAGGGCAGTTCTATTTTTTTTTAAATTGTAGTTCAATTTGCCAACATATAGCATAACACCCAGTGCTCATCCCACCAAGTGCCCCCAGGGCAGTTCTATCTTTAACTCTATGAGGACCCTCCACACAGTTTTCCAGAGTGGCTGCACTAGTTCACATTCCCACCAACAGTGCAAGAAGGTCCCCCTTTTTCCACATCCTCTCCAACATTTGTTGTTTCCTGTTTTGTTAATTTTCCCCAATCTCACTGGTGTGAGGTGGGATCTCATTGATGTTTTGATTTGTATTTCCCTGATGGTCAATGATGTGGAGCATTTTCTCATGTGCTTGTTGCCCATGTCTATGTATTACTCTGTGAAATTTCTGTTCAGGTCTTTTGCCCATTTCATGATTGGATTGTTTGTTTCTTTGCTGTGGAGTTTAATAAGTTTGCAACATCCCTCCTGATCGGTGCCCTGATCACCTGACTGGCATCCTGCTTTGCTTACCTTTGCCAATGCTCTCCCCATTGCCTCTCCTGGCCTGGTCTTCACTAGTGATCCCATCTGGTCCTTGTGCGTGGAACCAACAGGCCTGTGCTGGCCCAAATGTGTCCCCCAAGTCTTGTGCCCTGACACAGGACTTCAGAATGTGGCTGATTTGAGATGGGTTCTTTGAGAGGTAGCAAGGTGAAAGGAGGTCATTAGCCCCATCAGCATTCCTGGTCTTCCACATGGACTCCTGTCCTTGTAAGAGCAGGTGTCAGGATATGGGCAGTATAGGAGGTCGGCTGGAGGAGGACATGGGGAGGGGCCCTGTGAGGCCTGCATCTCCCACTGCCGGCTACTAGGACTGTGAAAGCATAAATGCATGTGGTTTAAGATGCCAGAATGGGGGGGGTCTTTGTCTGGCAGCCTTCACTGACTAATACACATCGAGCACATGCCCGTTGCTCTGTCCACAGCCAGGGCAGCAGTCATTGTGCCTCCAGCCCCAGGCTGGGTCTGCTCCCCACCCAACTCCAACATCTGGAGAGAGCCAATGCATGGTGTGGCATGGCTGTGGATTTCACTCGCCCATCGACAGAGGAAGCCTTTCCCCAGTGATTTCTGGAATTTTTAAAGATTTTATTGTCTTTACAAAAAGAAAGAATCTGTAAGGAATTTAATAAGCTCCAGAAATGTAAAGAGATTAAAACAAGCTAGCCAAGCTACAAGAGTGGCTTTCATTTGCATGATCCCTGCACATTCTCTCCCAGGGAGCACAGGGGCTCTGCTTCTTCTCCCCGGCACGGCCGTCTCAGGCCATATAGGGGCTCCCACCTGGCACTAGTTCCAGGACAGTCAGAGATCCAGGCGTAGGGGCCTCCCGGCCCTTACCCATGGCTGCAGGCTCTCTCTCTGCCCCCTATTCTCCTCCCCCAGAACTGCATGCTAGAAGAAGTTCTTGCCCCATGGGACTCAGGTCCAGGCCACAGGACAGAGTGGGCTGGGTCTGCTGCCTTGGCCTCCCGGGACCCTCCAGCTCTGTCCATGGAGCCTGTGTCCGCCTGCCTGCCACCAGGTCAGCAGGCCCCTCTCCAGGAGGCCTGTCTGGGTGACAAAACTTCTTCCTCAAGTGTTGTCGTCCAGCAGCTATGGGGCTCCTGCAGCAGCCTCAGGCCAGGGCCCTCTCACTGTGGTCTCCTCTGGTGGAGAAGACCTGACTGACTATTAGCGACATGTCAGGGGTTTCCCCGTTGGGTGACAGGAGCCCAAGGCTTCCTCTTGATGCGCCAGAACGTGCCTGTCTGGGAACATCCTGCATTCTGGAGCCTGGTCTGGACAGGGTGTGCACAGAGGACATACCCTGACCAGATAGACCCTGAGCTCGCCAGCCCTCTGCCTCCTGTGGGAACAAATGAGCTGCTTTACCCAGGGGCCATCCCCTGAGGGCCATACTGCCCAATGCCTTAGTGTCCACATAGCCCCAGGCATATCTTGGTGGCTGCTAGGAGGGGCCAGCAGGTGTCTTTCAGCTCAGGTTGGGGGCATTCTTGGTGTTCCCTTGATTCTCCAGACAGTGGGTCAGGGGGCAAGGCAGCTCATGGTGGCCACGAGGCCAGATGGTGGAGGTGCAGGCCCAGGATGACCGTGAGGTCAGAGCTTGGTGAGGTCAGAGAGTAGAGGAGCAGGCCTGGAAGCAGGCAAGCGGCACAAACCGAGGCACCCATTTCCTACATGGGGTCTAGGGCAATGCTGGACATCCATCCCAGAGGGCTTGCCCTAGGCCCCTTGCCTGATCATGTTCCTGTAGTCGGGGACAATCGTGCGCTTCAGCTCCACCACTGACGAGAAGATCCACTTCACCTGCAGCAGGGAGGGGAGGGTGTGAGCTTGGCCTGGACCCCCACAGACCACCTCCCTCCATGACCAAGCTCCTGCCCCAAGGCTAGGTAGTGTGAGGGGATCCTGGAAGGGACAGTGTGGGGGAGAGGGAGCAGACAGTGAGAGGACAAGGGTGGGACAGAGAAGGGACAGTGTGGGGGTAGTGAGGAGACAGTGAGGGGACAGTGAGGAGAGAGTGAGGGGTCTGTGTGGGGACAGTGAGGCTTCAGTGAGAGTATAGTGAGAGGACAGTGAGCAGACCTTTTGGGGACGCTGAGGGCATAGAAAGCTGACATTTTCATGACAGTGTGGGGAGAGTGAGCAGACAGTATTTGGACATTATGTATATGGTGAGGGGATACCATATGTGGGGACAGTGTGGGGACATTGAGAGGACTCTGAGAGGACTTTGAGGAGACAGTGAGGGAACAGTGAGGGGATAATTGGGAACAGTGTGGGGACAGTAGGGGACAGAGAGGAGCCAGTGAGGAGCCAGCGGAGGCACAGTGTAGGGACATGAGGGGACTGTGAGGAGACTGCGAGAGGACAGTCTGTGGAATGTGTGGGGATTGTGAGAGGATGGTGAGGGGACAGTGAGGGGATACCGTGGGGACATTATACAGGTAAGTAGAGGACAGTGAAGGGACAGCGAAGAGACATCATGCAAAATTGTAGGATCACCACATGGGCATTGTGGGGTCTGTGTGGACACATGGTGAGGACAGCGACGGGACAGTGGGCCATAGTCCAGGGACAGTACGGGTGTGCCCACCTTGAAGAGGGTGACAGTGGCGCTGTAGCACACGCTGAGCAGGAAGAGGGTGATGAAGATGGAGATGGTGGTCCACAGCCCATCCAGCTCCCCGTCCTGGTCCTCAGCACAGCTGTCATCCAGGATCAGTTCTGGAAAGGAAGGGGGTGGTCAGTACTGGGCCGGCGGAGGGGCAGATTCCCTGAGGGACAGTCACAGCCCTCTGCAACCCTGGGTGCCAGCCTCAGCACCCCAGCCCTACCGCTTGGGCCAGGCCAGTGGGGACCCACACCCTCTGTGCTCTGCCCTGTGCTGGGACCCTGTGGGGAGAAGGGTGCCCACCTCCTCTTGCCCTGGGGGTACAGGCCCTTTTGGGAGGGTCAGCGGAGAATAAGGAAGGGCCCAGAGTGACAGGGAGTGTCCCTAGTGAACAAGTGGGTGGGAGCATCAGGATAAGCTGGTTTGTGGGGGTTTTGTGCACGTCAAGAGGGGGTGTAGGCTCCCTGGGGCAGAGGAGGGCGGGTCGGTGTGGTCAGTGTGTGGATGAGCTGCTGAGCAGATGACGGGCAGTGGAGGGGGTGGGGACCAGGGTGTTGTCCATGGTGAGGGTTCCCAAGACTGGCTCTGCTCTGGGCACTGCAGCTGGTCCTGTGTGAGGACCAGGGTATAAGGTCTGAGTGTGTGTGTGTGTGTGTGTGTGTGTGTGTGTGTGTGTGTGTGAGAAGGTGGCGGTGCTCAGCACGATGGGCTTGTTTTCAGTGGATCTGGACTCAGCGTCCATGTGGAGGTCTCCAGTGGTCCCTCCCCTGGGCACTCAGGGCCACCTGCCTCTGCCCCACTGGGGCACGGGGTGAGGTCCCCATGAGTGGACAGGCCTGGTCCCAGGGGGGATGAACTCAGGGGGGACCTCGTCACTGGAGGCAGGGTGGGGGACTGTACATGGATGGAGTGTCGTGTCTGAGGGCAAACAGGGCCTGTCCCCTCCTGACAGGACAAGCATGGCTACTGCGTTGACACAGAGCTACCAAGCAGAGCTCTCCGCAGGCCCAGGGGACAGGGAGCCCAGGGCATGAGGACAGGCCAGTGTCCCACAACTCGGTACAGAGGTGGGAAGGTCTGTGTGCTCATTTCCCTGAGGGGCCCTGGAGGGGACAACTCCTGCCGTCCCCGTCCACACACCCCAGCCCTGGCTAGCTTCTGGCTGGATTGAGGGCGCACAGGGGCTGCACCTCTGCCAAAGTGCGCTCCCCAGGCTCAGGCGGCTCCCGGCCCCACGTTGTGGCAGCCTGTGCCGCCCTCCCCACTCGAGGTGCAGAGCTCACCCACCAGTGGTGACACCTTAGACTCAGAGCTGGCCTGCCCGTACCACCCAGGGCCCGGGTGTCCCGAGCTCTACCTCGGAAAGAACCATGACAGCGTGCAGGGTCCCAGGGCAGTGCTGGGTGCTTTATTTCATGATGGGTGCCTACCCGGGGTTATGTACACAGGGGCGGGGGCTCAGGCGTCCTCAGGGGATCCTGAGAGCCAAGGTGGGGGGCTTGCTGGGTGCCGGGCGTGTTGCTCATTTACCCGGAGAATGGGAGAGGGATTTCTGTGTGTAGTGGTTGTGTAGAGCTTCGTGCATCACCGCACATACGAAGGCGTCTCCCCGCTGCCAGCGGCTCTTGTCCACAGAGAGCTTGCTGTACAGGAAGTAGGACCCGTCCTCGTCCAGCTGGGGCGGGGTCATGCGGTGCTTCCTCTCGGGCTCCTGCTGTCCATTGCTCTGCCACTCCACATCAATCTCAGGTGGGAAGAAGTCTTTGACCAGGCAGGTCAGGGTGACCGTGTTCTTGCTCATCTCGTCCCGCGATGGTGGCAGGACATATACATTAGGCTGATGGGCCTGCCCTGTGGGGTAAAGGGTCAGCACAGATGGTCAACACCAGGGTGGAGGACTGGTTTTAGTTTATAGGGCAACTCTCCCTCCTTGCAGCCCCTTTGCCCTGCTGCCTACCTGGGGTCTTGGAGATGAACTTCTCACTGGGGGACGGGAGGGCTTTGTTGTTGACTTTGCACTTGAACTGCTTCCCTGAAAGCCAGTCCTGGTGCACGATGGGGAGGACGCTGACCACACGGAAGGTGCCGTTGAACTGCTCCTCACGAGGCTGCGTGTTGGCTGTGTGCACCTGCTTACTATCCACGAACCAGCTGATCTGCACCTCAGGGTTTTCTGGGTCCAGATCCACCACCACACAAGTGACCGTGGGTGTTCGGGCAGTCACGAGGATGTCCTTGGGTTTCGGGGGAAAGATGAAGACCGAAGGCCCTCCCAGCAGGCCACAACCTGAAGGGGAAACAGCGTACAGAGGTCAGGTTTGGGCGACTTCCTCTTGAGCACCCATTAACCCATAAGGCTGTGCCTGGTTGTGCACCATCTGCTTGGGGTGCAGAGCGGGGCCCTGCTGACTCACCTGGGCATGGGCAGTTGTTACAGTTACACTTGCACTCGCATTGTTTGACCACTGCAGAGAGAGCAGACTGGGGGTTACTGGGGGCCTGGGGTGGGCACAGGTCATGGGGTGAACTTAGGTCAGGCCAGCTCATGAGGGGATCCCTGTCCAGTGGCACCCAATGGGCCCCGAGAATGCAGTGGGGAATGCAGCCTGTGGTCATCTGGACCAGGCAGCCACGCCCAGAGGACACCTTCCCAGAAAGGGGAGGCCTTGAGGGCGGGGACACTGAGGTGACTCCCCGGTGACGTGGGTCCAGGACAGCTGACCTGGCCTGTCCCCGAGTGGACCCCTCTCTGAGGTCCGACGTCTCACCTGGCTTGTCTACTTTAGTGTTGCTGGCCGGGTGGGCCACGTTGCAGGTGAAGGTCTCGCTGGGCCACCTGCTGGAGGGCACTGTCACCATGCTGCTGAGGGAGTAGAGCCCTGAGGACTGCAGGACGGACGGGAAGGTGTGCACACCGCTGGTCAAGGAGCCGGAATTCCAGGACACGGTTACAGGCTCGGGGAAGTAGCCTGACACCAGGCAGGCCAGGGCCACCGTGGAGCCGGATTGGGACCCGCAGCTGGGGGCCAGTGGGAAGACCGAGGGGGCCGTGGTGGAGGCTGCAAGAGAGGAGGCTGTGTGACCCCCAGGGTCTCAGGGGTCCAGGCCTGGGGTGGCTCTGAGCACCACGCCCACGTGCTTCAGGGAGTCTGCACACCAGGCGCATGGCCCGGCTCGCTGTGGCCACAGAACCTGGACTCCTCGGCCTGGTCAGTGCTGGGTGACCACCTGGATCACGTCCCCAGGGCCTCGGCCCCTGGGTCCCCGCTCAGGTTTTCCCTGGCTGCCCCACCTGACCACGGCCTCTGTGGCAGCCCCGACCTGGGAGCCCTGTGCCCAGTGGGCTCCTGCGGGCCCCTGAGCCCAGGCCTGCTGTCCCCGTCCGACCGCGTCTTGTCCCAGCAGGGATTTGCACCCATTGCCCAGGCCCCTCAGCACGGAGCTCTCGTCCTGGGCTGCCATGTGCCCTCCAGGTGCCACGACGTCAGGGTCAGCTCTGCAGCCAAGCACCCGGGGCCGGATCCCGTCCCTGCCCGAGCCGTCGGGACTGCCCCAGGCCTTCCAGGCATGGCTTCCTGACGTCCCTCAGGGCTGCTCCCGCCTTGGCCCCGGCCTTTGCCCCCCGTGCTCTGGGGCCCGGGCAGCTCCCACAGGCCTCCCGCACCCAGGGCTGCCCTGAGCCTGTGCGCCCCTCGGGGTGGGAGGGAGCGCGGCCCTGCCCTGGCTGTCCCGTCCTGCGTGGTGACAGCAAGTAGGCTGCAGCTCAGACGCCGCCACCCGCCGGCCTGTCCCCTTGGACCCTGGGCCCCGCTGCTCAGCTCAGGGCCCTGAAGCTGCCCCTCGCACGCCCACCACGGCTGGCAGCCCTGCCTGGGGCTCCCCACGGGCCCCTTGTTCTCCTGCCTCTGGCTCCTCGGCCCTGCACCCCGGGACCCGGCTGGCCATGACCCCCCTCCCGGGCGGGTCTCAGGGCCTGCAGGACCGCGCTGCTGCCCTGACTGGAAACCCGTGGCTCCCTCCTTCCTAGAGTGGCCCCCCTTCCCCTGGGCCCCAAGGCCTTCCCGGGGAGGCTCTGCTCCCCACCCGGCCTCACCGCCTCACACTCCCCGGGTCCAGGAGGCTCAGCTGCCCGGACCCTCAGCCCCTGAGCGGGTGGCGCCGGCTCAGCCGCTGCGCAGTGCAGCCCCGCTTGGCGCTCAGGCCTCGGCGCTGAGATTCTGGAACAAGGTGGCACCTCCTTGCCCCCCCTGGGCCTCCGAGACGGGGCATGTTCTGGGGCCTCGCTGAGCTGAGATCTGAGTGCACCTTTGCCCCTCCTGCTCTCCATCTGCCCTGCTCCCCTGCACCCGCTCCCTTCTCCCTGGGCTACTGGGGTGACCCCTGCCTCTCCTGCTCCCGCACCTGCCCCTGGTCCCCTGCACCTGCTCCCCTGCTCCCTGAGATCCTGGGGTGACCCCTGCACCTCCTGCTCCCCCACCTGCCCTGGGCACCTGCAACAACTCCCTGCTGCCTGAGCTCTTGCGGTGTCCCCCGCACCCCCTGCTCTACCATCTGCCCTGTGCTCCTTAACCAGCTCCCCTGCTCCCTGGGCTTCCGGGTGACTCCTGCCCCTCCTGCTCCTTCAGGGGCCCCTGCTCTCCTGCACCAGCTCCCCTGTTCCTGAGCTCCTGGCATAACCCTTGCTCCTCCTGCTCCCCACCTACCCTGCTCACTTACACCATCTCTCCTGCTCCTTGGGCTCCTGGGGTTACTACTGCCCCTCCTGCTCCCCACCTGCCCTTGCTCACCTGCACAAGCTCTCCTGACCCCTGGGGTCCGGGGGGAGACCCCTGCCCCTCCTGTCCCCATCTGACCCTGCTCACCTGCAGCAGCTCCTTGCTTCCTGTACTCCTGGGGTGACTCCTGCTCTTCCTGCTCCCCCACCTGCCCTGCTAACCTGCACCAGTCCCTTGCTCCCTGGGCTCGAGGTGACCTCTGCCCTTCTACTCACCCACCTGGCCCTGCTCCCCAGCATGAGCTCCCCTACTCCCTGTACTCCTGGATGATCCCTGCACCTCCAGCTCCCCACCTACCCTGCTCAATTACACTAGCACCCCTGCACCCTCTCCCTGCTCCCTGGGCTCCTCCCTGCCCCTCCTGCTCTCCCACCTGCCCTGCTCCATGGAACCCGCTCCCCAGCTCTCTGGGCTCCTGAGTTGACCCCTGCCCTCCTGCTCCCCTTCCTGTCCTGCTCACATGCACCCCGCCCTTACTCCCTGGGCTCCTGGGGTTACCCCTGCCCCTCCTGCTCTCCCACCTACCCTGCTCAACTGCACCAGCTCCCGGGCTCCTTGAGCTGTGGGGTGATTCCTGCCCCTCCTCCTCCCCCACTTGCCCTGTTCACCAGCTCCCCTGCTGGATATGACCTGGAGTGACTCCTGCCCCTCTTGCTCTCTGAGGTGCCCCTGCTACCCTGCACCCGCTCCTGGGGTGACCCCCGTCCCTGCTTTTTCCGCACCTGCCCTGCTCCCCTGCTCCAGCTCCCCTGCTCCCTGAGCTCCTGGGGTGACCCCTGCTGCTCTACTCCCCCCCTGCCTTTCTCACCTGCTCCAGCTCCTCTGCTCCCTGAGCTCCTGGGGTGACCCCTGCCCCTCTTGCTCTCCGAGGTGCCCCTGCTCCCCTGCACCCGCTCCCCTGTTCCCTAGGCTCTGGGGGTGACCCCTGTCCCTGCTTCTTCCCCACCTGCCCTGCTCACCTGCACCAGCTCCCCTGCATTCTGGTCTCCTGAGGTGACCCCTGTCCCTCTTTCCCCCCACCTGCCCTGCTCCCCTGCTCCAGCTCCCTGCTCCCTGAGCTCCTGGGGTGATCCCTGCTGCACTATTCCCCCCTGCCTTTCTCACCTGCTCCAGCTCCCCTGCTCCCTGAGCTCCTGGGGTGACCCCTGCCCCTCTTGCTCTCCGAGGTGCCCCTGCTCCCCTGCACCCGCTCCCCCTGTTCCCTAGGCTCCTGGGGTGACCCCTGTCCCTGCTTCTTCCCCACCTGCCCTGCTCACCTGCACCAGCTCCCCTGCTCCCTGAGCTCCTGGGGTGACCCCTGCCCATCCTGCTCTCCCGCTGGCCCCTGATCACCTGTACCTGCTCCCCCTGCCCTGTGAGGTCTTGTGGTGACTCCTGCCTGTCCTGCTCCCTCACTTCCTCTGCTCCCCTGCACTAGCTCCTGGGCTCCTTAAGCTTTCGGGTGACCCCTGCCCCTCCTGCTCCCCCACCTGCCCTGCTCCATGGCACCCGCTCCCCTGCTCTCTGGGCTCCTGAGTTGACCCCTGCCCCTCTTGCTCCCCCACTTGCCCTGCTCACCTGCACGTGCTCCCTGGACTCCTGGGGTGACCCCTGCCCTCTGTCTCCCACCTGCACTGCTCAGCTGCACCAGCTTCCCTGCTCCCTGGGTCCGTGGGCAACCCTCTGCTCGTGCTGCCCCCCTTGGCTCCTGCTCACCCGGGGCTTCTCTCTCCTGGTCCCAGGATCTCATGGACATGGCAGCCCCTGCCCTCCTGTCCTAGGATATGTCCCCAGGGCTCCCTGAGCCCCACCCCAGTCTGTGTGTTCCAGGTCTGCCCCTTCCCTGCAGCCCGCCTCACACCCAGTGTTCTAGGTTGGATTCTACCCTCATCCCTGGGCTCTGTCCATGTGGATCCGCCCCTCAGCCCCTCTGCTGACCTGGGCTCTGGGTCCCGGGAGCCTAAACCGGCCCCCCTGCTCGACTCCAACTCACCTGCTGCTCATCTGATGCAGCCCAGGGCCGCTCTCCCCTCACCGGTTACCCTCCCGGGGGCTTGAGCTGCTTCGTTAACCTGGACAGGCCCTGGGATCCCTGGGGTGTCTTCCCCTCCTCTGGTGAGTCAGCCCCCCCCACGTCCTCACCTGGGACCCACCTGTCCGTCTAGACATTGCTCCTGCAGTGGCTCATGCAGTCCAGCCCTGGGCCCCTGCAGGTGCGGCGAAGGGCAGCCCTCAGGCTCCTGCCCACTGGGCCCGTCATGTTCCTTGATGGTCCAGGTCCTTCCCCAGCCATCAGTGTGTCATGCATCCACCCATGCTGGCTGGGTGTGCTCGTCCCGTCGCACTCGACCGATGTGTTCCTGGGATGTCATGTAGGCCCACGGGCGGCCTGCCCTCCCCATTACTGGCTCAGCTGCTGCTGCCTCCATGGGTCCTGAGGGCCTGGTGTCTCCTCAGGTCCTGTGGCTGGTTCTACTGCCCCACCTCCCTCCCTCTGTCCTGGCTCCGAGCACACCCCACTCATCTGGGTCTGGGCTGTGGCCGGAGCTTCCCTGCAGCCTTGGTCCTCCTGCAACCTGCCCCATCCCTGCTCTGACAAACCCCTCCCTGGGGCTCCTTGTGGCTGAGCTCTGTGCCCACAGCCCTGCTTCCTAGGTCCCAGCAGCCCTGGGAAGATTAACATAGCATCGAAACCAAATGGCCTGGCCAGCATCCTGAAGTTCCCTTTTCTTGTTTGGTTTCTGTCTTACAGGGCCTTGGGGAGTCTGCAGTCGGCCTAGGCTCCCTTTGTGGGTAGTGTGGGTTGGGTGTGATGGGTACCCAGGGGCCCTGGTGGGAGACTGGAGCCCCGGGACGGCCCCATGTGCTGCTGTCTGCTCTCAAGCTCCTGTAGGGATATGCCTGAAGCTTGGTCCCTACTCCCCAGAGCCACCGGCCCTCCCTAGGCTCTCAGAGACCCCAACCCTGGTGGGCTCCTCTCTGTGCCCTGGCCAGCGTGCTGTGTGGCTGTAGCCCTGGGCCTTGTCCTGTCCTCCCAGGAGAATGCTATCTGCCCTGTTGCCATCCATGGTGGCAGCTCTTACAAATCACTGGAGCCTTGTCCTGTGTTCTCAAAAGGTATCATCTCAGCCCCACTTGTGATGTGGAAGACAAAGGAGTCTGATGTGTATGGACAGAGCTCAGGGTGGTGATGAGGCTGATGCTCTTGTTGGTGAGACTGTGCAGGCTCTGTCCTGCCCTGTGTGTCATGGCCCAGACACCTATGCCCAGGACAGGAACCCTCAATTTCTTGTGTCAGGGTGCCACAGTATGTAGCCGTGGGATGTGCCTTGTTTCCATGGTGGGCCTGGATCAGGACCCCTAGGAATACTGTAGGCAATCTCCCTAAAAGCTCCAGGGAGGCAATTAGGGT